GTTCGCAGCTAGGGTGCTTTTTACTGGAAATTGTCCTCTAGTAGTACTGACGGTGAAGGAAGGGAGTCTTGTTCAACAGCAGTCTCGGTTCTCTGAGCTTATTTGTGGAAGCACTGCTCTAAGCTCGGCCGTGCTTTTCAGCCTGACTTGCAGCATCTCCGGTGGAGTGCAGCCTGTCTCCGTGCTGTGGCAGAGGCGTTAGAATTGGGAAGATGAGTTTTATGGGACTCACAGGTTCAATAAGCAGAGCCCTTCCTTTGGAAAATTTCAGAGTACCGTAAAAATGCAGTTGAAATGAAAAAGAAATAGAATGAAATGAGAAAGTATGTGCTTTTACATGGGAGAAAGCAGATAGCAAAGCAGCTCTGAAAATGCAGCACAGAAGCTTGATCTGAATGAGAAGAACCTGCGGTCACAGTGAATTAAGAAATAGTGTGGGAACAGTTGACTTGTTTAAAGAATTAGGGATTTTTCAGGTAATGTTTTGATCATGTACTTCCATGTATTTCCGAGCAAGCAGGCGAAGCTCTGCTTGGTCTGATCTTGGGCATTAAAACACAAGAAAACAACTGATCCTTCCCAGAATTGTGTGTTCTTATTGTGAATTCTTTTTTAGTATTGCTATTACTTGGATTTGTGGCCACTTGGAATTTTGACTATTACAGAAGTCATATTTAATTTTACTGGAAGGGCTGTATCTTTTACACATTTAAATAGGTACATGAAAGCTTTTGGAAGGGTATACAAAGCTTGCATTAATGTGAAACAGTTAACTTCCATTCTCATTACCCATTCAAATGTAATTAGCTTGTTTTGTCTTCTGTTACTGTTGTGTAATCAAAGTCCTGGGAGGGAGGAGAAGCAGGAGAAAGAGAGGGCTGAATGGCAGCAGGATACCAGGTTTTTCTTGGCAACTTCACTCTGCTCTGCTACTTTCATAACTGGAATTGAAACAAATCCTCAGTGTTTAAAGTAGGGCACTATGTCTGTATAAACAGAACACCTTGAAATTCTCAAAACGTGAATAGCAAATGAAATTAAGAAATTGTGTGATTAGGCAATTTTCCTGAAGCTTTGTTGTGCACAGAAACAGGGTCAGTTGTCTTGATTATCTTATCTTGTGTGTGTTTTCAGTAAGACAGTTTTATTTATGGGCTTTTTGCAACTTACGTGTACTTTAAGATGGATTCATCCAGTAGTGGAGGCAATTCCCAGGTTTTTTTTTTTCCTCCAAGTGAAAGCATCTCCTGCTTTCTAGAGAGATTAGTTTGGTCCCACCTGTGAAAGAGGTATTTGTTTGCTTCATAGTACCAAAACTTAGAAAGCTTTTTTTCCCCTGATTTATATAAGAACAGAAAGAGTTTCTGCTGCATAAAATGAAGTTGTTAATCTTTTGCAATTAGATAGCAAAATAATAATTCATGGCAATTAAATAGGAAGATGTGTGCTGTGATTTTATGTTTCAGAATATTAGGCCCATAACCATAATTTCAGAGTTAATAATGAGTTCCTAAACAACTTTGTGGAAGACAGCAGATTCTGAAAACAAAAGTTATTTTAAATATTCAGTATCTCAGTTTCTGTTGTTTCTTTCCTGCTACCATACAAAATACAGAAGTAGCTGCAGCAGGGGAAGGCAGGCATGATTTAAGGAACACAGACTATAGCCACAGAAGAGCCTTCAGTATCTTGTTCTCTGTTTTGTGAAGCAACTTCTCCTGGAGCTTTTTGCAGATGTCTTCTTGGAGTCTAGAGATTGTTTGTGAAATAACACGTGAATCTAAGGTGATGAATGCAAATCACACCGATGCCAGGCTTTGTTTATTTAGCGTCATGGAGTGTACTCCTCCATGTTCTCACTGAAATCACTTTTAAGATACATGCGCCTCTTTTGCTTAGAGTGTTTGTTCATATAATGGTTTAAAATGCTGACTTGTATGCCTGGGCAAAGATAGGGGCTGTCTATGTTTAATAAGTTCAGGATTCTGTGCTATAAAACAAATGCAGGATTTTAGGAATTGTGTCTTTTGTCCAACTCTTTGGACTGCGGAAGCAGAAACTAGCTAGAAATGAGTCCACCCTTACAGAAGGGTGGCAAAAGCAAGTATGCAGGAATGATGGAGTCGCAGTGGGGACTCAAGAGAAGTCAAGCAAATTCAGACCCAAAAGTGATGTTTCTGATCTGCTAGAAGGAAAAGTTAATGAGCTGTTGCTCATGATGCCATTGTATTTCAAGCTGTTTCTGAAAGAGTTGTGTATTGTGGGATTTTTAGCTTCCCCACCTCCTTCAAGCTTTTGAGACTTTGCTTTCCCCCATGTTCATGGGTGAAAGCTGTTTCAAAATATGTCTGTAGCTGGACAGGCTACAGTGGAGTTTAAAAAAATTCAGAATACTTGATAGGAATTTCTGTTTACTTGAAGAAACTAATTTTAGAATTTTGTTAGAAGTTTCTTAAAAACAATCACGTTTTCACAGTTGTTTCTCAGTCATGTCTTCTGCAACTTGTAAAACTGTAATTTTGTGTTGAAATGACAAAAACAGTATCCAGCTTGTTAATTTGCAGATTTAAGGCTTTAGAAGTAGATGGTTTGAGGGTGCTGATGCATGCTGGTTTATGTATTAGCTGTGTGTGCTGTGCATTGTTAATTAATCCAATTTAGCTTGACAAAATATTTTTTCTTTATTAGAGTGAAGATACGCAGCAACAAATTATCAGAGAAACTTTCCATTTAGTATCAAAACGTGATGAAAATGTCTGTAATTTCCTAGAAGGAGGATTGTAAGTATCAAGTTTGAAATAAATGCCCAATACTTGCTGGCTAGCAAATATTATTACTACTGATTGTAATTGTTTTTACAGTTGTAATGTAAATGCTATGTCACTTGAGATATTTTAATACACAAAGAATAATATCATGTTGCATCTGGTAAATATATTCTTTTACTAACTGAAGCATACATATGTATATATGTATCAAAATGAGTTAGGCAATAAAACTTTTTTTTTCCTAGTGCTGTAACTGACACAGTGCCATATCTAGTGCTATAATTGTTTCAGACACAAGATGGAGAAGGAACAGGCAGATGGTACCTAACCAGTTTCCCTATAATAAAGTTAAAGATTTCTGGTCTCATTGAAGAGGCATTGGAATTAGCCTTGACCATTGAGAAAATTAAAATATTTTGTAGCTGATGCTCTGTCACACGCTTCTAAAGTTTTGAGTGGACAGCCTCTGATAATGGGATTTCTCAGCCTTTTTATCAGGGTTCAGGGTAGGAAGAAAAAAAGTAGGTTTTAAATGTGCTAACTTGATTTCAACCAAGATTTTTTATTAATATAGGTAGAGCAAGGTAGAAGAAAAGCCAGACTTGCATCTTCTGTCTCTAGAAGACATGCACAAAATATTATTTCTTAAATCTTCTCAGTTATTTTTTTAATGTGGTCTTGCTTAGTTGAAGAGAAGAAAATCTGAAATTGAAGCATGTTTTATTTTGAGATATTCCTCATGAAGAGTAAATAGTAACTATACAAAATATTTTCATTTCTATTTCGAGCAGGCCTCCTACTGAAGAACATCTTACGATTTATGCACCTTCTTTGGGAAAGCTATAGCAGAAAAGTGGAAGGAAATATCTGTTTAGTCCTCTTCTTTTCTTGTTCAGTAACTGATGATTAGTGAGTCCATAAAAATATGATTCCTTCTGTGATTTAGACATTGCATCACAAAGTGTGGTTGCATCACAGTCTTATTTCTCAAGATACCAAACATTTTGTTGCACGAGAGTGTTACATGTTCTTGGTTATTAAGTAGACCATAAACCTGACTTAAGGCTTTTTCTGCAGTTATAGTTTAAACTATACTATATAGTTACTATATACTATACTATAGTTTATAATCTTCGTTATAGTTTTCTTTTTCTGTTGATGGTCCCCTGAGAAGGGCAGGGAAGGGTTCATAGGCTCTGTTAATCTGTAAAGCCGATTAATCCCTGTATAGTCCCCACTAGTGTGTAATGAAAGTACATTTAATACCCATTTTTTAAAAAACCTGCATGATCTATTTGAATTGATTATAATAAAAAGGTGTATATATTGATGTAACTATTACCCGTACGGATAATAAATAACTCTGCTTATGCAGTAAATATAACTAGGGCTGTCTTTGTGCTTAGTATTCTTCCATTGTAATTATATCACAAAATAAAAGCTGTGATATAGTTGGATTTGGGAAAGCTCTGACCAGCCATTAACAGTAGACCTTCTATTAACTGAAATAGCTGTGTGAATTTGCCCAGCTTATCCCAAGATGCTAACTAAGCTTTCCTCTTTTCTTTCCTGTTTAGATTAATAGGTGGATCTGATAACAAACTAATTTACCGACACTATGCCACCTTGTATTTTGTCTTCTGTGTGGATTCTTCAGAAAGTGAACTTGGCATTTTAGACCTCATACAAGTAAGTTTTTTTGCTGGTTTGTTCTTTAATTCGTGGAATTCTAGGTACCTTAGAACTTCAATATTTAGCTGTGTTTTTTCTGTAATATTTGGAAGTGAAGATGGCTTTCGTACTGTGAACACACGCAAAGTGCTGAGTATTACTCTTAGATTGTTTACAGTTTTCTGGACTGTCTTTGAAAAGGTTATTTCCTAAGCTGAAGAGAAAGGAAATAGTTTGTTTGAAACCTACTGAACAGTCAGCAACTATTTTTTGCTGCAGCTTTTCTAGGCCTTGTTGTGGATGCAGGTAAAAACAGTGCAGTTCAAACATTCACTAGGCAAGTTTAGATTATGAGAACCTTGATACATAAAGTGTATGTACACTTTACAGTATATATATCGTATGCATACAATATATATGTATTGACTACAAATATATAATAGAACAAGGCATCCAAAACCTCTTTGGAGGAAACTTTCCTTGTTGCTTATGAGCTTTTGGTCAGATATGCCTTAGAAAATGAGTGCAAAATGCTGCCCTAGGCATGTGTTCTGCACCAGGATGGGGAGGATGGGGAAAGGTGACTATATACAAGTTCTTTCTGGATCTCAATAAGGAAGATACAACAAAGTGGCTTAATAATGTAACTGTTTAATAAAACACAATAAGAAGAGAAATGTAGATAGTAAACCTTAAACTTTCAGATGCTGGGCATCCCATGTTCATGCAGCATTCAGGGGAGCCCAGGTGGATTTTTCCATGATGTGCTGTGCAGACCAGATCCTGTCTGCTCCCCCTTCTTTGAACCATTAAGCTGTTCTGTAATTTCCTCACAAGGAAATAACTCTATTCCTAAAGGATGTTCTAATGAGAGATTCTAGCTGCACTTTGGAGGACAGGCAATGTCATGCAGGTGGCATGATCACCGGTAGTAAGTGTGAGCTGCCAGCAGGTTCCTCTGTTGCAGTGAGGTGGCTGAGTTTATCCTGCAGCCAAGGAATTTGTGCAGTTCAGTGCAGCACAGGCCTCTGCCTGTGCAGGCTAAGTGTTGTGTAACCCTTAAATATGCCGTGGTCTCTTCATCAGAATCAGTACATTCCATTCCTTGATCCACCTACAGTTTACCTTTTCCAAAGACATGATATGTTATATATTACATTAATAAGGTACATGCTTTTCAAGCCCAATAGAGCAAATGTGGTCTGTTCAAGATCACTGATTCCTCAAATGCAGTGTCTTCTGCAGGGTTCCCAATGTAGGATGTGCGATTTAAACTGTTAAACATGTCTGTATCAACTCAGCAACAAAAGTTATCTCTGCTAATAAGAGCAGTCTTTTGGCAAGAGAGCTCTGACTACACCAGTGATTTTTTCAAATTAAAATTTGCACTAAAACAATTTCACTGAAGATTATTAGTGTATTCAGATGTGGCAAAAATATTTTCACACCATGAAGTCCTGTATGTCATTATATAAAATGGATCTCAGATATATGTATTTATATGTATGTGTGTATGATGCACTTACTGTGAAGCCTTTCCAAAACTTGCACATCAATATAATTGATTTATTACATAAGTAAGGTCTGTGGTATCCTGAAGCATGGGCCTGTATCTTATTTCACTGCAGAAAGCACTGTGAGCCTTGAAGGCCTCACAATTCTGCAGACCTTTCTTGAAGCTGAGTAACTTCTCATAGTCACATATTAGTGTTCAAAACAGCTCTTCAGTGTTTAGTGGTCTTCTGGACAGTAGATCCAAATTGTCTTTCTGAGTGGCTGTAGAGGTAGCAGGGAAGGAAACTCCTTTTCTAGATTCTTATATCATCTTTGGTTATAGAAACATTCTGCAATATCCAAATAGTGTGAATTACTGAGTGAGATGTACAATGGACTTAACTTCTCTTAGCAGTTTGTTGTATGGGGTTGCTTCGTTGCTTGTTGCTTAGTGTGTCTTCTTACTTGGAAGCGCTAAAATATTTATGAGCTGTGAAAAGCTTGTTAATATTTCATGTCACTTAGGAATGTTTTTCAGATTAAGTGGGTACTATGAATATGTTTAATCAGATAACAATTATAGGATCTGGGTCAATCAGTGTGATCTGTTATGTTTTGCAGGTCTACTGTGCCAGTTCAACTAAGATTTTTATTCATTATGATATATTAAAAATGTCCCATCAGTAGCTTCCAGCTATCTCCAGTTACACAGTGTAATCTAAATTTTACTTTAAGGTATTGAAGAAAATCGCTTGAGCTTATTACTACCTGTATTTGTATAGCCCTCAAACTCTCTGAATTAGGTAAATCTTAAACTTTTCTCTAAATTGTATTCCTTCTTGTGTCAAAAGTATTTCAGTCCCTCAGTCTTTTTATTTCACATCTTTTCAGTTATGTCCCAGTGTTTAATTACATGTCAGTGTAATTACTTGAAGGAAGCAGAAATGCTATTTCTGTTTATAGAAATACTTTACTTTTTTCTTGACCGACATAATTTTGTTTGCAAATACAGTCTTACCACAGTATCTGCAACTGTTCAGTACCTCCCATTTCTCTAGATTGTTGTAATTCAACCATTTGATTATAGTAGAAAGCATACAGAGATTAAACATTTTTAATTTCCAGTCTGGCTCACAAAAAGAATCCTCTTAGCAATAGTAATCAGAATTAAATGTATCTTACACTGGAAAAGTGCCCTCAAAAAGTTTATTACTACATCTCAACCTCATGTGCAACGCAGCCTGGCAGTATATACATATACACATCTACTCAAACAAATAAACTTTGTCTGTTTTTTTGTTCTGGTGTTGAAACTTTTTCATACATCTCTGTTTACTGTAGTTTAGAGTCAACCCAGATAAGAGTCAGCCATCATATCATACATATAAATTCATTTTTAAAATAAGTAATAATGTAGAGGGCAAGTTTCTGATCTGAAGGTAAACTGGTGAAATGAACCTAGAACTTAGTCTAGCACTTCAGAGTTTTCTGTTTTATAAACTGAATAAATCTATAGTGGATTAGATTACATATAGCAGTCTGCAGTTCTTTTCAGCATAAAGTTTTGTTGTAATAGTTAAGATACTTCTGTGAAGGCCACTTGTATCACCATTAGGTCAGAGCTGTTCCACAGGTGGGTCTTTGTGGCTCAGGCTTAATGAATGCACTGAATGTGTTAGAAATCATAGACTCTGCCTCAGATTTTGTAGTGTGTTCAAACTGACAGTGTTGGAACACCTCAGGCAAATTCATACTGTTAATTTTACTGTTAATTAATTCATACTGTCTATTTTCTTTTTTTAAATACAAGCACAAGGTTATGTTTATTGTTCTTTATTTTTGAATGGGAGATAGGTTAGCATCTGTGCTATGCACAGTCTGTTGAATTCAGTGGAAATTACGTTGTGAGTTATAGCCATTTCAGGCTCTTCTTGTTAGCCTGCAAAGTGTAAGGTTGTAGCACATGGAAGTAGAGTATGTAAGAAAATACAACTAGCTGTAGATGGCCACAAGGAAAAATTGAATGACATTTACAACAGTACCTAATTATCTTATGGACCTAAAAGCCCATGTTAGCTCTAAGCATTTTTTCAGGATTTTAGTCCATTGCTATACTTTTAAGACATGTTGACTCAGCTAAAGCAGCTACATCTGGGAGATCTGTCTTCCATGAAAAGTTGTATATAGCCTTGCAAGACAATGTTATTCAGTAAGATACATATGGTAAATGCAGTGCAGTTGATGGAAGATGTTTTTCTCAGTTCTTAAATTATCCTGACTAGAGATGCATTTATGCCAAGTAACTAAAAACAGGAGAGGCTGGGATACCTATTTTTGGCAGAAAAATCCCTAGGTAGTTCTCATTTAACACTATTAGTTTATTTTAGAGTTGAGTGGAAAGTAAGTGGCATGAATTAAGAACAAAACCAACATTTTTGCCTAAAAAGCCTTATTGGTAATGCATTAATTCTGTTGGTTAGTCTGCTTGAAAGACCTAATACAATTCTGTTTTGAGAGATCAGCAGGACTTGTACAGTGTTTCCCTTACACTGTAATCTTGGCATTCTCTGTATAATCTATGAGTAGCTTAAAAATAATTTATTGAAATACTGAATAATTGAAATGAATGAAATAATTGAATAATTGAAATGAATATTGAAAACTGGAATGGCAGTTTAAGTGTGAGAAAACGCAATGCCTGCTCCAAGGATTTCCCAATTAGAAAGGCTGCAGGAACATTGTAGTTGGTTTCCTGTGCTTGCAATTATATGTGAACTGTGACTTATTAAAATTCACTCTTAAAGCAGAAGAGAAACCAGTCTTGTGTATGAAGAACTGGCTATATGGTCAGGCTGTTATGTTCTGAACTAGTTGGCATCTCAGGTAGGATTTGAACAGCCAAAAGCAGTGAAGTGGGGGACAAGTTGAATTCTGTCTTAAGGTTTACCCTTGCAGTTTAGCCTGGGAAGATGAATATTCTTGATAGGAGTTAGTCCTGTTGTTTTTACTTCATCTTTTGTACCTACTTTTGTTAGTATTTGACATGATCTAGCATCAGATGCATTTAATTCATTAGGTGTTCTGATTTTTCTGCTAGCCTTGTTATCTTCCTAATACTAATGCATGTTTTGTTCCTTTGTCCTCTTATTAGCATAATTAAAAATTAAGCCCTTCATGGTAGAAGTGGTGGT